TTAAAAAATAAAAAGTATATATGGAAACTCAATTTCTTGACTAAGAAAAATTTTTCCTTTTCTCTAATATTTCTATATTAAAAAATGAAAAGCATATATGGAAACTCAATTTCTTGACTAAGAAAAATTTTTCCTTTTCTCTAAGCTTTCACTTACAATAGGTCTAAAATTTTTAAATATTTTATTCAAAAGAGTGCTGGCTTTAAAACTAAATACTAACCCTTTCTATGAAGATGGCATTGAAAGCAAAGAATGAAGCCACTGCTCCTCCCAAAACTGAAGTAAAAGCAAAGAGGGCAGTCCTGAAGGGCATCCACAGCCACAAACACACACACACACACGAGATCTACATGTCACCCATCTTCCGGCGGCCTAGGACACTGGGACTCTGAAGGCAGCCCCAGAAGAGCACCGCCAGGAGAAACAAGCTTGACCACTATGCCATCATCAGGTTTACCCTGACCACCAAGTCAGTCATGAAGAAGATAGAAGATAACACACTTGTGGTCATTGTGGATGCCAAGGCCAACAAGCACCAAACCACACAAGCTGTGAAGAAGCTCTATGAGACTGATGTGGCCAAGGTCAACACCCTGATTAAACTGAAGGAGAGAAAAAGTCCTGTGTTCGACCTGATCCTGACTATGATGCTTGGGGTGTTGCCAACAAAATAGGGATTACTTAAACTGAGTCCAGTTGGCTAATTCTAAATACAAATTCTCCTCACACATACAAATTTTAAAAAACACAATAAAAATAAAAACCCAAAACAAAACACCAACAAGCAACTAAAAGCTACTGGCAATATTTTGAAGCAGTATCATTATTGTGAGCTGTCACAGAGTTGACTGCTCTCTTGCTGACCCCATGCAAAGCTGCTCTATGATAGGGTTTCGAATCTCCCAGAAGCAAACCAACAAGCCTGTCTGCTGAGGCACCCTCTGTTGTTCTTTTATATCCTATGGAGTCAGAACCTGCTCATAGATGATGACCTTTCGGCAGGTTTTCAAAGGTAAATCACACAGAATACTGTCCATCTTTCTTCCAAGGAGCAGCTGATGGATTTGAACCATGTTGGCAGCACAACTTCTTACTACTAATCCACTTGAGTCTCTGAAGTCTCTGGTTAAATGCCATCGTGTCAAGTACACCTCACAGTGACCCTAACAGAAGACCTGAACCCTGCCCAATCATGTGCCTCATCCTCTCTGACACACTAGTGCCCACTGCTGAAGTCATCATGTCAATGTTTTTCACTGGAGGTCTTCAACTTTCAAAAGAACAAACAGAAAGGTGCAGCGAGAGCTCCTTGGAGGCAAAGATGGCGAAGCTTCATCCTTTATCATTTGGGCAGGTAGCTAGGCGAGGCGACTCCTTGGGAAGGACAACATGCTTAGGAAGATGAACATTATGCTTGGAAAGACAGTTTAAACCTCTAAAGAAGATTGAACTGTCAGTCAGTCAGTAGCCAAACACTTAACCATTTTAAGTAGGCACGGATTATTTCCACTGAAGTTACACTGATGTTATTTGTTTAAAGACCAAAAAAAATTTCATTTTCCCACTAACAGACTAGTACTCACCGTGCATGTTCCTGATATTTTCGGATAACATAATCTTGTCTTTGCAAGATTTGGAAAAATTTGTTTCGTGCTATGTGGTTTCTGGCAATGCACTTATGCAAATCTTGTGGTTTTACATTAAATGTATCTGCTAAATGTACTGAAGAATCTGCACAAAACACAATCAGAGATCAGAGAAAACTCAGACTAAAAATTAAACATCAAAATGTTGAGTTTTTATTAACTTTAAAATATTAAGTTAACCTCATATAATAAACGCATCCTTAGACGGTAGAATTGAACACACTCAAACACATACACATAAAAACACAAAAGCAAGTACTTCTTTTTAAGTTTTTATTAATATGGACCATCAAGTTGGAATCAACGCACAGCCCTCCAGAGGGGTTTCAGAGACAATAAATTTCAAGTTAATTTAACAATCAACAAGTTAATTTCAAGTTAGTTCATTTCCCCAAAATATGCAAGTCACTCCTAACCGGATCTATAAATTACATATAATTTAAGCATAAGCTACTATTCTCTTTAACACAATCTAGTAAAAAGTTGAGAAGCTCTACTTGCATAGCCCATATCAAATTGTGCTGTTAACCCAAAGGTCAGGTGTCTGCAACAATCAGAATCCACTAATGGTTCTGGGGGGAAAGGGGACAGGCAATGGGATTTGCAGCCTTACAAACCCAACGGAGAATCCCTACGAGCTGGAACTGACTCAAGGCAGTGAGTTACTTTGAAAGGTTGTTAAAAAACAAAACAAAAACAAGCAAATATACAGAAGATCATATGTGATCACAAACCCTAAAATATTTACTACCTATCCTTTTATATAAAGCTTCCTGATTCCTATAAACTGAAACATAATAATTATAATAAATATGTCTTTTAGTTATGCTCAGAAGATTTCAAACGACAGCTCTAGTAAAATAATAACTTTATTTTTAAGGTATATTAACATACCTTGCTTTATTAAAAATCCCTTGATAGTTTACAAAATAGAAAAAAACTTAACAGGAATTTTTAAAAAAGAATTCATACAATATATGACTTACTTTTAGAACAGGTCTTAATATATTTCAATGCAACATATCTTGCAAAATGGTACATCAGATGAACAAACTTCGGTCCTCCAGGAGAAATAAATAATGAGCCAACGACTTGAGGAAAGCTACCTCCACATTCAGCCTATAAAACAAGAGTGAATTTGAAGGCTTTCCTACCAATAAAACCTTGTAACTATATCATACTACTTTTTTAAGCAAGAAACAAATGCATAGAATATATTTTTGCCAGAATAAGAATCAAATTTCAAAATAATTTTAAGTGATATGCGAATTAAACATCCATTAAGCAAAAAATGAAAGTGTCCAGTCCTGTTCCCTTAGCAGACCATCTCACCAGCTTCCGACTTAAAGCACCTGTCACTACTTTAAAACTGTGTTAGGGAGCTCTGGTGGCCTAATGACAAGAAGCTGCACTGCTGTCCCAGAGGTATGCGGTTCGAATCCACCAGATGCTCTTCTGGAGAAGGAGCGGCAATCTCCTCCTGTACCAGTCAGATCTGATTTGATAATATACACAAAAAATAATAAAATACAATTTGTTTTTTTAAAAAAAGCTATGTTCTATTCACTAGTGCTCTATGGAGCCCCTGTCAGCCTTCACACACAATTGTTGTTAGATGTTATCAAGTACAATTCATAGTGACTCTATGAACAGACCTGACCCTGTCCTATGCTATGCAATCCTTATCATATCTTACACACTTGAGTCTACTATGGTAGTTCATCTCATTGAGTGTCGCCCTCCTTAGCTGACTCTCCATCTTTCTAAGCATAAAGTCCTTGCCGAAGAAATAGTCAAAAAAGGAAGACCTTCAATAAAAAGATGGAAAGACAAGTGACTCTAATAATGGGCTCAAAAACAGCAGAGACTGTGAATGGCCCAGAAGTCCTATTGTAGTCTGTTGTACACAGCTTCACATTGAGTCCAGAGTAGTCTCAAAGGTACCTAACAACAACACAGGTGATAGATACCTACAAAAACTACTAAAGACTTCCTAAAACTCAGTCTTTTGAAATGTTTACCAATTTTGTGCAGCTAAAGAAAAACCTTTCAAGACGTTCTTGGCAGCAGATTTGCCAAATGCAACATGTCATTTGATTTCTAGACTGCTATCTCTATTAGCCACTGTGGATCCTTGACAATTTCAATCTTTCATCCATCTATCAAGATGCTGCCTATTTACAACAAAGTTTATTGCATTCAAATGGCTTTTATGTAATAGAGATCATGCAAAACAGTGAAGGATTTAAAATATGTATATGATATATGTAAATGTACAAACTTTAGAAAGAAATAAATCCAACAAATTAAAAAAAAAAAAAGATGCTGCCTATTTGTCCTCTTTTAAGAATTTTTTATTTATGCTGAGTTGTAATCCACAGTCTTTGATCTCCATTTTAAGTGATTCAAGTTACCTTCACTTTTAATAATTAAAAACAAAAGGATGCCTTTGAATTGTGGAACTGATGAAAACCATTAAATACATTATGGACTACCAAAAGTACCAACAAATATATCTTAGAAAGCAGCCAAAGTGTTCCTTCGAAGGTAAGATGGTGAGATTTTATCTTACATTATTTTGTATGCTATCAGTAGAGACCAGTCCCTAGAAGAGGATATGATGCTTGGAATCATAAGAGGGTAAATGAAAGGGTATTTTCAAGGCCATGGACTGATACATCGCCTGTTTATGCACAGAAGAGATTGTGGGGCCCGGACTGGAAGGGTTTTCTTACGTTGTCCATAGAGCTGCTAAGTCAGAACCGACAAAATGGCTTCCAGCAATAAATAATTTGAGATGCACGTTGCATCTCAAAAAGTCAAGACTTCAAATGGGAACCGACTCATAGCTTGACCCTACACTGGGTTTCAAAGGCTATAGGAAGAGACTGCTCATCTTTCTCCCAAAGAACTGCTGTTTAATTCAATTACCTCTTTGGTACACCATAAAGGTAGCTGAATCCAATCATAAAGCCTTTGGTTTAGCCATGCAAGTTCCTAGGAGACACAATACCCGAGCTCCCCAGCACAGCACATAGAGCTTCTTGCATACTCACTAAGAGTATAAACATCTTTTTATTAAAAGTTCTACTTAATGAAGACTGAAAAGATTTCCAAAAGCATGTAAGAAAGAAAACAGATCATGCTAAGGTTTTATAAAACAGAATTCACAACTGAGTTTATGATGCTCAGGTATTCCATAATTCCAGTTTAAAAGGAATGACCAGGACTAATCGATTTTAAATCACAAGTTTAAATTTTTGAACTTTTTTAAACCTTAGAAGAGCTGATCACAAAAAAAAAGGTTGTAATTATAAAGCCATAATATTTTTTTTTTTAATTTTATTATTTTTGTGTGAGTGTACCGTCAAATCAGATCTGACTGGTACAGGAGGAGATTGTCCCTTTCCCGGCAGAGCATCTGGTGGATTTGAACCATGCGCCTCTGGGATTGTAGTTGCAGCTCCTTGCCACTAGGCCACCAGAGCGCCCCAAAGTCATAATTTTTATTGAAACCATTTGGGGAAACAAACTAATCTGTCTTAAAAGTTTTTCTCCACATAAAAACTGCAATATAAACCCCAAGAGTGTCTATAAATCAACAAAGCTGGCTTAACAGAAATAAGTAGTCCTAACCAAAGCCTAACTAAAAGTAGTATTCTAGTATTTCCTTGTTTATATACTTACTGTTAAAGCATTAACAAGATTTCACATCTAAAAAGGTAGAGTTTTTTAACTTCTTGAAGCTTGTCTCTTTCAGAAAGAAACTACTTACAGAAATCTTTTTTAACCATTCACAGCAATGTTTCCGGAATTCAGCATCACGTTTTTGGTCAAATGGAGGCCAGCAAAATCTTAAACGCAAAAACAAAAGCAAGATAATTATGATAGGGGGAAAAAACCCCAAAACACCTCAAACTCAGCAAAATTTAAAAATAACCACCTTACCTTCTAAACTAGAAACATTAACGATAATTGGATCAACACTAACATTCTTCAATTTCAATTAAAGAGAGACTCCAATCTATGAGAAAGAGTGGTTTTTCTCTCAAAATATCTGTACTTTGAGTTCACGTTAGTGTAACTAATGAATGAAGAAGTACATTAAAGAAGGAATGAATAGCTGTTAAAATTATTATAAAACAGGTTAAGATGTCAACAGTCTCAATGAATGCACTAGGCTAACTTTTGCACAAAGATCTTCTAGATAAATGTGTGTAAGCCTAAAAAACAATCTCGCTTGAGATACAAATGGCAATACCTAGAGAGCAACCTCAAGAGGGGAACCTAGTCCTCCTGGAGGTAATTTATATCACTGTCAGTAGTGGGCACTTCTGTTTTGTGGTTAAACAAGACATAAAAATACGAAAAAGAACAGTTTTGATTCGGCTCCAACCAAGTCAAAATACTAGACTTTATAATTAATCACTTTCTCCTAACAGTGTTTTGTCTGTTTTTGTTCTAAGATTACTTGTGTACTCCATGCTGCTAATATTTATGTTAAATAAAGTATATTATATACGCAGAGAATAAAAAAAAACGTAAAAAGCTGAAATTATATTAGTGATAGTCTGGGGCTGTAGGCTTCAGAATGTTTTTTACTTCTTTGTCTGTATTATTCTGAATTGTAACTATAGCCTAAAGGTACTTACACACTTACATCACTTACAGGTGATAGAAACTAACTGGAATTAGTGGTGAAAGTAGTAAACAGGATGAATATAAGTAAAGTCACTGACATGTACAGGTAAAAATGGTTGAAAATTAAAATGTTTTGTTATGGCTTTAATTTCACAATAACAGACATCTATAAAATCCTAAGCAATGAATTATGATACCTTTTAATGTAGACTATGTTGTATTTTTTTTAAAGTCTCAATTTTACTCAGTTTAAAAGTTTTGAACATTTTTTTCAGAAAGAAGACATCCAAATTACAAGAACATTTGCAAAATAACTTGGAACCAAGGTTAATGAATGCTCATTTTTTTTTTATACATTTCCTTCTTAAAAACACAGTAGGCTAAGGGAGCTCTGGTAGCCTAGTGGCAAGAAAGCTGCACTACAATCCCAGAGGTACACAGTTCAAATCCTCCAGATGCTCTGCTGGAGAAAGGGGCAATCTCCTCCTGTACCAGTCAGATCCTATTTGATGGTACACACACACACACAAAATAATAATAATTTAAAAAAAAATACTGTAGGCTAAATTAAAAGCTAACATTTTTGCCTACAGCAATTAACAAATACTGACACAAATCACTGACAAAATAAGAATTTACAGTGAATTGGAAATAAAACAAATAGCCATGCTTATAAGAAAAAAAGCAAACCCTGGGATACTTAACAAAATGTGGCATAAAAGTGAACTTAAAGATTGGAAGCAGTTGATAATTTACCTATTAATTAAAATTATGACAAATACAATGAACTAATTATATAAAACAAAATCTATCTTATCTATAAAATACATAATTTTATATGAAGATTAAAAAGGAAAACAAAAACCCACTTAGATTTAGTGACATTCAAAACCAAGTTTTGAGGCATTCATTCAAAATTAATAGTCAGAAGCCAAATATTAAATCCTGGCTTCTATCAGGCATAGTCCATTTTGAACTTTGAGAATAAGTACTTAAGAATAGAGAAAATGCAACGTTTCCTTACTTGAAAACTTCTTTGCTAAGAGACTGGTCCAGCGTTTGAAATAAAAAATAAGAAACTATTTGAAAGGCATCACGGTTCAGCTTGTCAAACATGTTCCTAAAAGTTTGAAAAACAGAAACAGAGAAAAAGAAGAATGGTTAATAAAACCAAACATTATCAACAACAGCTTAGCAGTTAAGTAATTATTTTTCCATTCCCTTCAAGAAGGCAAAATTCATTTTTCCTTACTATCAACTTTAGTTAATTAAAAACTAAAAGATTTTCTTTTACGAAACATCTATTAAGAAAACTAGCAGAATTTGTTTTATCGCAATGAAAATTTTTCACAGGAAGAGAAAAAGTAAAACAAACTCACTGCCTTCGAGTTAATTTCAACTCAAGGAAACCCTCCATCTCCATCAGGTTTCCAAAGCTGTAAATCCTAACAGAAGCATCTGCCTCATTTCTCTCCTACAGTGCAACTGATGGCTTCAAACTACCAACCTGTCATGTCAGACAGCAGCCCAAACAACCACCACCAGGAAAGGGAAGAAACAAGTCTCATAAAAAGAGAAAGAACTATAGATGATACCAACCAATATCTAAGGAATAACAAGTAAAACAAGCTGATATTTATTGAGTGTTAACTCCTGGTCAGATATTAATTTGAGCATTTTGCAGGTATTCATCTATCTTCATAACAATCAAAAGAGATTTAAAATTGCTGTCCTAAATGCTTTGGCATGGACTATAGTATTTTATCCTAATGATATTAAAAATAAAAAAACCCAAATAATTCTATTAGACTTATTTTACAGTTAAAGAAACATAAATGTGGAAAGGTTAAATAATTTGCTCAAAATCACAAGGAACTGGAAAAGCAAATGATGTACAGAAGTCATCTGAACACCTTTATCACTGAATCTATTCCTAGAATCTCTGTTTAACTGCACAAAGTCCCTTCATATTTTTATTGTCTCATTCCCCTTAATAAAAATAAAACCTGAAAATACATATCATGGAAGAGGGTGGGGAAATTAAAAACCTTTAAGAAATGTCACCTAATCAAAAGGAATAAACAAAAGCATCAAATTTGATTCTAAGGAATCAAATTTTATAACTTAAAATTACTATTCTTATCCACCAGATGCTGTGCTGGAGAAAGATGGACAACCTCCTTCTGTGCCCGTCAGACCTGACTTGACAGTACACAAGAGATAAAAAATTACTATTCTTTGCTTAATAATGTAGAACAATTCAGTCCTTAGATGTCTCTATTCCATAACACAAATGAAACTCCACCCATTCTATCTACTTTCTATCTCTTGAACTCTGGGACCTTTTCAGATAGTATCCAGTTCTGTTCTAGCACCTATTATAATTTGTAATATTTTTTAAAGATTTGTTTACCCACTTGAATGAAACTGCTTAAAGAAAGAGTTTGTCTATTCTGTTCACCCCTGGACCGTCAGGTACAGTATTGTTCAATAAATATTTGTGGAGTGAACAAATGAACAACCTTATATATCCACTGCCAAGAACGGCTGGTGGTATGTTGTTGTTAGGTGCCATCGAGTGAACTAACAGCAATTGATCTTAAACATGATCAGTTCATAATCTTGATCATGAACAGATCTGAACTGTGTCCTATCTTGTGCCATCCTCACGATCTCAGATTTAACTGAGCCCTTGGTTACAGGAACTGTGTCAATCCATCTTGTTAAGAGTCTTCCTCTCTTATGCTGACTCTCCAACCTTTCCAAAGATGAGGTCCTTCTCCAAGGATTGGCCCTTCTTAACAACATACCGAAAGTATGTATGTGGTTGTGTATTGCAGAGTTGTATAACTGACCCAGTCAGGTTTCAGAAGCAGCAGACTCCAAGAGAGGAGACTGCCTCTTTCTCCTGTGAAGCAGCATGTGGGTTTGAACTGTCACCACCGGGTCAATGGGCAGCATCAGTATGGATGGTGAAGAGATTGAGATAGTTACCAGTTTTAGTTTGCTTGGCTCCACAGTCAACACTCTTGGTAACAGCAGCCAGGAAATCAAGAGACAAATTGAATTGGGAAAGTCATCTGTCAGGAACCTCTCTAGGGTACTGAAGAGCAACAACATCAGGCTGGAGCACATGATCTGGGATATAGTCTTTGCAATTGTATGCTATGCATTGGAGAGCTGGACAGTGACTAGGGATGACAGAAAGAATTGATGCCTTTGGGCTGTGGTGCTGGAGAAGAGTACTGAATATGACACAGACTGTTAAGAGAGCAAACAATTGTCCTGGAGAGGGTGAAGCCGGGCAGCTCCTTGGAGGCAAAGATTCTGAGGCTATGTCTGACATATTTGGGGCATGTTGCAAGGAGGGGCCAGTCCTTGGAGAGGGACATCATGTTTGTGAGAGTGGAGGGACAGCGCAGGAGAGGAAGACCCGCGATAAGATGGAGCAATTCAGAGAATAGGGTACTAGGAGCAGGTGTGTCAGAGGGTTTAAGGCTCTTGTACATAGGGTCACAATGAGTCACAGGCAACTCGACAGCATATAACAACCCCCACCTTTGTGTTGGCTGTGTAATTCCATATTTTAAGTCATCAGAGCTCCCTAAAGTATGTTGTTAAGTGCCCTACTGGAGTAGGACACATAGCGACGCTATGAACAACAGTTCCTGTGCCATCTTTATCATCTCTGATATGCTTGATCCTACTGCCCTAGCTATGATGTCAATCCATGTCACTGAGGGTCTTCCCAACAAAGGTAAGTATACAGTGGGCAGTAATATATCTAGATGCAAACCAAAAGGTTGACAACTGGAATACATCCCTTCGCAGGAGATTTACAGCTCCAGAAACCGAAGGTAGGTCTGCAGGAATTGAAACCAACTCCTCAGTCAGTGGGATTATTTCCTCCTGCCACTGCCACTTTAGAACAGGCTCCAGTGACTACAATGCCAGTCCCTCTCATTCACTGCAATGCAAAACAACTTGTTTTCCTAAAAAACACACAGCCACTGAACAAATCCTACACTTAAAAAGAAATTAAGATTGAAGACAATGGCTCATGGCTTCTAAATCCCAAATTTCGCTTACAGAAGGGAAAACACTGCTTAAACTTCAGAAGACAGAAACATTGTGAACAAAGAATTCCAATAATGATCCTAACCATAACGAAAGTGGCCAAAGGAGAAGGGCATTTGTCATCTTAATGCCTTTCACTACTATTAACTGTGGCACGTCTTTATTTCCTAATTCAAAAAGTAAAAACAAAAAAAGTACTTTCAAAGCCTCCCTTTAAGCCCCAAAAGCATCTATCTGCACGCGTTGTTCCCCAAACTCTCACCACCTTTTGCTTCTCAAGTCACTTGTCCCTACCACCAAACTGGGGTTAGCTGTCCCCCACTTAGTTCAGCCTCCACTTTAGACTCTGCAGTTGCTGGTCAGGAGCCCCCGGGCCGATGTGGGGTCCCAGAGACCCCAAGTGACAAAGCAGAAGGACCGGGGCTGGGCAGGGCTTCGCTTTACAGCAGTAGGTCGCCAGCCCTTGCTCCCGCGCCCCAGCACTGCTCTATCCTCCGAGCCCCGGGGGGTACGCTGCCCTTGTGTGCTGCCAACACGTAGTTTGAATTCACCAGCCACCAAGCCGCGGTGCCCTCCCCGAAACTACGGCCTCGGGAACCGACTCGATGGCAGGGGGACTGGGATGCGGCGCTGTCTGTCTGTCTGTCGGCTTGCTGTGGGGCATTTTTCTCTGCCCTGCCGCCAGCAGCCTCTATGGGACTAAGTCACAGGTGGAGTCCGCCAAAGGGCGGTCACCCCGCGCCCCCCGGTCCCCCAGCCCCGGACTTACGGTCCGAAGTGCGTGAGCGACACGATCTTCCCGCAGGCCACGGCGGCCGGGCCGGGCTCGAAGCCGAGCGCCTGGAGATACATCCAGAGATGCTCCTTCTCGAAAGCAGAGACCCCGGCCGCACTCATCCTCGCGGTGCGCGGGAGGGGACGGAGAAAGGGCCGCCCCGGAGACTCCAAGGACCCTCAAGCTCCCTCCCTCCCGGCAGGCTGAGGTGCTGGCGACCCCTCCATTGCCACCTGCGACGAATGCACGTTAAAAAGCCGGAAAGTCTCGGCAAAACCGGGCCTCAGCGGGCCAGGTGACGAGGGGAACCAGGGCTAACCCAGCACAAACTCCCGCGCTGCCGGAAGAGCGAAACGACCAATGAGCCGGCCGAGAGGCGGGAACGAAACGCGTCCGGCAGCCGCGGGAGGCGGGACTTAGCGCTCGCATCTCCCGCCATGCAGTGCGCCCGGAGCTCCGCCCCGGCTTGCCCGGCTCGGCGAGCCCCACAGCGCCCCCCGCGGCCGGTGGGCTGTGCTGCACGGGTGCAGACCTGGGGCTGTGGCTCCGCGGGCCCCGAGCTCCCATCAGTTCTCTTCTGTGCGGTTCCTTTCTCGTCCTGTATGATCCTGCATGGCGGGCTGTATCTATCGCAGTAAAATGCCAAAAGCATTGGGTTCCCCTTACAGCTCTTCTTACCACCTCAACGCCTAACCTCTGAACCGCGCTTTCCAGAGATTTCTTATAGCAAAAGTGACAAGATGAAGCATTTGATGGGTTTCTGGATATTATTAACCCCCAAGGAATAGCCATGCTTGCTTGTTCCTTCAGTAAGCGCTTACTTAACTACTACACAGCACATGGGGTAATGAGGTAGATGTGTCAGAGACAGTGAGACTGGCTCAGGAGAGAGCAAAGTTCAGACCTAGTGTGAGTCGTGGTCTACCAGATGGCACATAACTACTGCGTCAGAAGTGGTTGCCTTTTGTATGAATAGGTAAAAACCTTACCTTGTCACCCTCACAATCTCTTCCACGTTCAACCCCCTTGATACAGTCACTATGTCAACCCATCTCATTGAGAATCTTTATCTCTTTAAATGACATTTCACAGAATGTCTTTTTTCCAAAAACGGGCTCAGCCTAATAACATACCCTAAGTATGTGAGATAGCGTTTCACTACCCTTGTCTCTAAGGAGCACCCTGGCTGGTTGTACTTCCTCCAGAACAGACTTGCTTGTTCTTTTTGCAAAGGATGGAAGGTATATTCAAGACTCTTAGCCAACATCCCAATCCAGAGGCATTGGCCCTTTTAACTCATTGTCCTTTATATGCATGTGTAGTCAGGAAGTAGCTAAGAGAATACGCCATCCCCTTTTCCTTATGACTCAGGGTGAAGTCTCTCTCAGGGAGGAGTGATAGGGAATGGCAAAGGATACACTGACAAAGAAGATTAATCAGAACTGGCTTTGACAAGCACTGTGGCATTTGGACAAGAACAAACTGGGAGGAGGGTAAAGAGAATAGTGCAACAATGAATGAATGGAAACCCAAAATCTCTGTAATTGTTTATGAAAATTAATAAAATATAATTATAGAAAAAAATATGCATGTGTAGTAACTGAAAATATGACTTGCGTCAGAATTTAAGATTTAAACGGGCATCCTTCCTCCTTAATACTTGAAAAAGTCCTTAACAGAGGTTTATCCAATCTTCCCTTCTTCTATCATGATGTTGCTTATTGGTCCAGTTGTGATAAATTTTGTTATCTTGATGTTGACGCATAGTTCATATTGAAGGCTGCAGTAGTCTGATCTTTTGTAGTCAATGTTTCAAGTCTTCTTCACTTTCTGAAAGCAAGTTATGTTGTATGCATAAAGTAGACTGTGTCTTCTTGCAATCCTGATGCCACATTCTTCCTCATATGGTGCATCTTCTCAAATTATTATATAATTATTATAATACGTATTTAGTAATGCGTTCTGGTGGCCCAGTGGGTATGGAGTTAAATTGACAATCCAAAGGCAGATAGTTCAAATCCACCAACTACTCAGAGGGAGAAATGAGCAATCTCCTCTGGTGCAATTTATAGCCTCTGAAAACCCACTGCCGTGTCAGTACTGAGTTCAGATTTGACAGAGGAGTTGAGTTGTTCAAGTGATTTCTAAGTCTGAATTAGCCATCAGGGGGCACCTTATTCCACTTATTTACTCCAGAATTGCTGTGTTCAGAAATTGTGGTAACTCCTACTGACACTAACACTCCAATCAGAAAAAGATACCTGCCCACTCCATCCAATAATTAACTACTTAGCATACTTGTCTTTTTAAGTCTTGCCCTGTTTTTTAAATCTTATAATA